AATAACAAAAAATTGCTTATAAAATATATTTAAACTTAATTAAACTAATTAAATAATTTATTTTATAGAATTTTTTAAAATTTTCTATAAAAATTAAACATTAATAATTGTTTATATACAAATTTAATGCAATTTCTTGTATAATGCTATTAATTTTACTTAAGAATAAATCTAAATAAAATTTTAAAAAATAAATAAATAAGTACAGTATTAAATTTTAAACTTGATAAAAGCTTTTAAAAATTTAATTGATAAATAATTATTTATATTTTAATATTTCATTCTCTTATTAATGAGATTTTTGTTAAAATTTAGTATATAAAAAAAATATATTCAAATGATTTATTTTTTTTTAAATCATTTCTCTTAAATATAAAGAAATTATAATCTAATTTTGGTTTTGGATACGGATTGAACCTCTATCTACTTATGTAGTAACGCATACAATGGTTCAACAAATTAAGATTTTAATTAAAGAGAAATCATTAGCTTATGAATTATGTAACTTTAACATTTAGCTGCTGTTAAAGATGTGGTTTAGGTTCTCACTTCCCATTATATAAGCTGCTGGAGATGTGAGTCGGTTCTCATAGAAGCTGTTAGAGATGTGAGTTCGTTTCTCATTTCCCATTATATAAGCAGCTACAGATGTGGGTCGGTTCTCATCCTCCCAATCATAGGAGCTGTTAGAGAAGTGGATTAGGTTCCCATTTCCCATTATATACGCTGCTAGACATGTAAGTCGGTTCGTATCTCCCCAACTACAGATGTGGGTTCGGTTTTCACTCCCAACTATCGTAGCTGTTAGAGCTGAGGGTTCTATTCTCGATAACAACTAATAACATTATGATGATATTATGCTAATATACTACAATAAGCAAATGTTGATAGAAAAGATCAAAGTTCAAACGTCAAATTTTTGTTGAATGTTAAATAAGATAAATTGCACAGCTTTGTATTTAAAATATTCAAATATCAATAATTTTGAAATTTATATACATATTTTAAACATTTTATTCAATATTCCTTAAGGAACTTAATGAACTTAAATTCTTCATTAATTATTATGTTTGTAACAGAAGTATTCGTTTATCATTATTAATATTTATCTAATTAATAAGAAATATTTGTTTTAAAAAATTTATATATTTTAAAAAATCAAAAAAATGAATAAAAAAATTTATTATTTTATTTGTTTGTGTGTTTATTTATTTATTCATTTATTTTTCTATTTAAAATAATTCAAGTGAAGAACAGATAATTTGACTGCTGCCATCTATTGGTTCCTTTTTAAATTATATTTTAATTCTTATATTTAAATATATATTTTTTATATGTTTTAAAATATATTAAATTTTATTAAATTAACTTTAATCTATATTAACTTTATTAGTGTAGAAACATGGCTTAAATCATAGAGGAAGGCCCAATATTAATAGTAGAAGTCCCAACAGTTAAACGCATAATAAGCAAAATACTAAATGATTTATGTGTGAAAAAAAGTAAAAATTATGGTAAAATTGTTCTTGAACGCCAAAAAATCACATTCCTAGAAGAAAATGTTGTAATTTTGAACGCTTGGCAAAGCCCATTTAAATAAAATCCCATTGAATTTGTGAAAAAGAATATGAAATTTTATAAGTAAAATAATAAAAATCTTCCATAAATAACTAGAAATATATAATACAATGCATGAAAACAATGCTGCAAGATTTAACATTTTGACTAAATCCATATTGAACATCATCCATAAATTATGTATGACTAATTTTATTGCTTTCAATTACCATCCCACAAACTGAAACGCCCAATAACGCGCATACCCACCCCCCAAATTACATGATGGATATCCTCGATAAACCCCTTAATTGTATTAAGGTACTGTACAATACCCAGTACGGGGTACCGAACATTACATTATTTTATTAATTACACGTATGACGCACTATACGCCTTGCAGTGCAACATTTCAAGAACTCAAATGAATCATTCTGTTAGCCAAAAGTTGAAACCATGGAATTACGTAACGATTTTTAACACCCTATTTGTAACTACAAGGAGTTGGGGGTTTTTCTATAAGAATTAATATATGTTAACGTTGCTTAATTCGAGAACACACACAGGAAATTACTCATAACGATTTATAGTATGGATTTTAGAATGATTTAAGAGATTTCGAATTGATACGAAAATGGAGAACAAATTATTGGAAACGTGAAAGTATGAGTTAGCGTGACAAGAAAGTTATGTTTGCGTGATGTGAAAGGATGAGTTAGCGTGCCATGCAACCAAAACAAGTGAATCTTCTGTAAATCTCTCTACCAATGATAAAGAGGAAGATAGCAGGAACTGTGTACCTAATTTGCATACGAGATAGGTTTGTTTATCTTACTATTTTTATGCTAATTTTAATATGTATCGTGGATTTTATTGCCATACAAATCTTCATCATGGGTTATATTATTATGATAAATCTATTGAAACAGTAAATCAATAAGAAACGAACCAATACAATTATTCGTTTCGTGATTTAAAATATCCCAAAATCACGGATATAGGCCATATTTACTGCATTTGAAATTTATTTATTCCTTGTAATTTAATATACATCATGCTTTTTCTCTTCATAATTATATTTAGAAACGTGTTAAAGTTACTTAATTAAAGACTAAGAAATTAACTGTAAATAATAACGTTAATTGTTTGCTAGATTAATTTAAACGTTAATAAAAATTTTAATTTTTCTTTATTATAATAGTAATATTAATATAAACTTCTATTTTAGAAAAAACAGTGGAACCCCTATTTAACTTTTTCTCGGGGATCAGCAGATTTCGGTCTAAAATTGAGGCCAAAATTAAACTAGGGGTTTTGTGTTTTCTGGAGAGATAAAGTCGGAACAGTTAAAAGTGAACGTATAATCGGGGTAGGCATTAAAACGGGATAGGAGTAAATAACAAGTCAGCATAAACTAATTTCTTTATAAAATAGTATTTAAATTTACAGTATATTCAATTCTATATTTTATGACCCTCTGGACGACTGTCAACAAATTTGAATGAGAAATTCTTCTGTTACTTTCTACACATAACAACGGAAAGTATTTGAATCGTGTCATTGATGCTACTTAAATTTTGGCGATTAAAGGTCGAAGGAATAAGGAAATAGTGGGTGGTCATGAGTCATATCTTTCTATGAAACTCATCATTACCCTCAAAATTAAGCATTTTGACATTTTATAATAATTAATAATATAAAAACGTTTTGTAACAAAATTTCATAACAGATAGCGCCACACACAATTTTATTTATTATGATTAATAATATAAAAGCTATTTTTTAAATAAAATCTCATAACATCGGGAAAGTTACGCAACAGTCGTTGCTGGCTTTTTCTTATTGTCAGATACACGATTCTTTAGAATAAAACAGTAATTCCATTGGATGGCTGTTGTTTTGATTCATCTAGAACAGGGGTGGTGAGCCTATAGCACGTAACGTATCATACGATTTCGATTTATCACGTATTTTTCAACCATACTTTCGGTTTATCACCTGATCATCCCCTTTTTTCAGTCAGTGTTTTTCATTTATTATAATTAAAGCATATTTGTTTAATTTCTTTAAATATCGTTATTCGAAAGCGAAAACGTTAGCACGCATAAACATCCTTAAAGCTGAGCATGCTCGCTGTATAGCACGCAGGCTCAAAAAGTTTCGCTATCCCTGATCTATATTTCAATTTAAATGCTATTAGAATTCTTCAAATAAACAAATATACTGTTTATAAATTTGCATTACATCAAAAATTGAGATTATAATTAATATTACAGGTCTTGTAAAAATAAGGACGTTCAGAAGGCCAGCAGAAAATGTGAATCAAATCAAAGAATTTTGCGCATGTAGTTTTAAATCGCTAAGCCATGAAACGGACATATCTCAAATCACAGTATAAAGAGTTTTGCACAAACTATTGGTTATAAAAGTTTACAAGCTTCAGTTATTGGAGGCCTGAAAAAAAGCTGAGGATAACACGAGCAGTTTAACTTTTGCACAGATATGCAAGAGACAACGGAAGAAAATGATACTTTTTACGTCCCCTCATTTTTAGTGATGAAGCAACCTAACACTTAAGCGGAAAAGTGAATTGCCATTTGCGTGAATATGAGACAGCAAACCTATATGCAACAATTGAGCATAAATGTGATTCATCAAAATTTCATGCATTCTGTGCCATTTCTTCTACAAAGATTTAAGGGTAATTCTTTTTTGAGGAAACAACAATTACTAGGTTCTCGTACATGGACACGCTGCCAAACTGGCTATTTCCTCAGCTGGATCAAAATTCTGATGACTACATCTTATCTTATGAATCGTATGTTTCTTCAGCAATGGATTGGATACCACAAGCCCAATGATAATCCATCGCACCAGATATGATGCAGCAACTGTGAGAAGTATTTGATCAACGGCTTAGAAAGAGTACCGCGTGACACTAGATAAGACATAAGAACACTTAGGACTGATTACAGACAGATACGAAACATGGCGAATCATATGAAACGGACTGTATCATTGAACTACTTGATTTGTTTATTTATAAAAATACAATTTATAAAAATTCCTTAGGATCCGACCACACCGAATCCGGATCCTCCAGAGCAAAGAGTCCCCCGCGTTTCTTTATGCAGCGAGAGTGTAGCGAAATTACGTCACGAGCAGTGTTGGCCAATTAGAAACCAGTTTCAGTGTGTTCGCTGTAAAGCGCTTCTCGAGCGCTGCATAAAGAAACGCGAGGGTCCGCTCCATGTTTAATGACATTCAGCAGTAACGTTATAGTAAATAATGAAAAAAAATGCTTTAATTTTAAATATAAATATTATATTGAAGACTATTTATAATAATTCATTTTAGTTTTTAAATTAAAACACTTAAGTAAATAAATGTAATTTTTTAAAATAAAATAAATGTAATTTCAATTTTTGCCGTTAGAGGGGTAATCGAGGCACATGACATTTCCTATTTTCAATGTGGAAGGAGTGATTTGAATATTAATCAATTTCTCAATGTGTTGTTGTTGTTAATGTTAGTAGTTAAGCTTTATATGTTGTAAATTTAAAATGGTTAGTTTAGCAGGAGATCAGAATAGAGGATCAGGAGGCGTAAGTATCATCAATTTATAAAGTTTTCTAAATTATTTCTGTATTCTGAATCATTTGAAGATGTTTATTGCTTTGTTTATTATTAGTGTGTAAATATTTTGTATATGTCTATTCTTAGTAAGTCAAGTAATTTAAATGATAGGAATATAACAGTTTCAGCATTTTTTTATAAATCAAATAAGAATATAAAGAAGTAATGAAATTGAATCTTATGTCTGCCTTAAAATTAAACCAATTACAGTATAAAATAATTTTTATACTAATTTATTAACATAAAATTTACACTGTTAATTGGAAAAAGCCAACAGAAAGTGAAAGTAACTTGTCATTATGTTAAAAAGATAGATACATGATTTTTATACACTAGGTTTTAATTCCAACCATTTGAAATTTGAATCAAATTTTTGAAGATTTGTATTTATTATGGTCTTTAAAACATTAAATTTATTAAACAGTATATAAAATAAATTATTTTAAAGTCTTTTTATTGAAAAGTTTATTTTTGGGAATTTTTTTTTTTTTTGTATTGATTTGAAGTTGGCATAAATGGCAGAAGAAATGGCATTTTGATGATTGTCATTAGCATGAATGCTCGTTTAGATGATGCTAAATGTTGGATTGTGAAAATCATAAAAATAAGCAAGTTAATCATTAAATGAAGTTCGTAAACAACTCATGAAAATAATGGAAATGTTTTGTTGATTCATGTGAAATAATAATTTATATACAGTCAATTTAAAGTCAATATCACAAGTTTTTGAATCATTCAAACAATTCAAGGATAGTATAAAAATACTTGTATATACAAAGTAGAGGATCTTAGTGTTTAAAATAACTTTGAAGTACATAAAGTTTTATTAATATATGCAATAAATTAAAATTTTATGCTTTCTTTTAATTGATAGATAAATGAATATTAGAAATTTAAAGGAAATTTAATGTTTGTGGACATCTTTTTGGTGATTATAATTTTTAAGGTAAAAGAATTTGTTAAATCATATTTGATGCTGAATACAAACAGAAAATATTAAGAGAAATTTTTTTGTATGAATTTTTTTTTCTATATGAAATGAATTTTTTTTCTATATAAAGAAACTTCTTAGTTTAAAATACAGATCATAAAACTTTCTCATTGTGTTTTAATGTCATGAAAGACTTGGCACCATGATGGGGATGAATCAGAAAACAAAAGTTATTTATTTTGAAACATTTTACTCTTCATTTCTTAGAAATGCACATGCAATCTTTTTCTAGATTCAACCAGCATTATAGTTTGCCTTGAAAATATTTAAAACTTGGCATCATAACAGAGATGAATCAATATTATGAGGATGACCAAGATTCAATTAGAACGTAGATAGCAAATAAACTGAAAACTATATTATTTTATTCAACATCTAATATGTGTATAAATTTATTGCTTAATTTATTAAATTAAACAATGAATGCACATTATGATGTCCATTTTAATGTGTCCATCAGAGGCTGACTGGATAAAATTACTGAATACTGGTAGTTGGTTGTGAGGTTGTATTTCACAATATGCTGACCATGTGGAATTTTTCAAGGTTTCTTCACATTCTTGACACCTAAATAGAGGTCATTTTCCTATTAAAAGTCCTCCTGGAAGCATCCTCTTCCTGGCAGATTGCCCATGTGTTGCATTATCATATCCCATCAAATCAAACCAAATTTTTTTGTGTGTTCACTGAACTTCAAATTAAAATAATCAACACTTTTACAATATCTATACTTTTATTATGATAATTTGTTAGTTAAAAACAATTTATTTATTTTCTAAAATCTTATATATCATTTCACTTTTATTAAAATTATTCTGAATATAGAATAGTAATATGGCTGTAGTCTAAGAATTAATGTTTAAAGGAATTGAACTACAACTATTTATTCAGAAAAGCTTCTTTAATCTTCTCTCTTTGTTACATTCCAATTTCCTTTGTTTCTTAATTCAAACTGGTCCATTCTTCAGGGAATTCTCTCTTGCAATATACCTAATTGAATTATACAGTTATTTGCACACATTAATTGTATCATTTGGAACAAAGACATACTATCAAAGTATTTTTATAGAATTGATTCTGGCACTATATTTGGTTGAATTTTACAATTAGTTGTTCATGTTAATTACAATATTTAGTACAACTCAGACAAGTTTTTTTAATAGAATTGATTTCACATCCTACATGAATGACTTAAAACTACATAATTTTTATGAAATTACAATTAACATTTTTTAAAATAAAAACTATCCATTGTACAACAAAAAAGTCTTATTCCAAAACAGAAAAATGCATAAATTGTAACATAAAAATTTTGTAGTTTAAATTATTGATATGTTTTTAATATAAAATTTTAGCAAACATATCTGTGATATCACTGTTTACATACCAATCTACCACTGATCAAATAATAAAAATATAATAGAATTATTACATTTTTATTTGCTCATTAACCTCATAAATGTTTATGGAATGTCAAATCTGTATACCTTTATTTCTTCAAATGATAATATTAATTTTAATAGTTTGAGACATTAAAATGAGGTTTCGAGTATTTGGAAGTTAGTTAACATTGAATTAGCATATTTGGAATCTGTCTATAAAATCGTTTTTACTTTGTTTTAGTGTCTATGTTTTGAAATATTTGACAATTTAAATCATATACGGTTAAATCTTAATACAATGATTATCAATATATAACAATAAATTTTGACTTAAAATAAGAAATATACTTTCCTAAGCAATGTATATTAATAAAAACCTCATTCAACTTAGAGCCTTTTTTTTGTTTCCAGTATTGTTTAATTAATTAATGATAATCAAATGTTCAAAGACAAAGTTTTTAATCTATACAAGATCTTCCTCAGGTCTACGTTGAATGGATGTTAATATACCGTATATTCCGGTGTATAAGACGACCCCCCAACTTTTACAGTTAAAATATAGTTTAGGATATACTTGCCCTATAAGATGACCCCTGACTTTTAAGAAGATTTTCCTGGGTTAAAAAGTCATCTTATATGCCAAAATATATGGTATTTCAAATAAAAAATAAAACTTTTGAATACATAAAATACAAAAATTGCACAATACCAACTTAACTACAGGAAAAGTACAAGAAATAACATAAAAGTAAACATTAAAAATATTATAAAACCAATGTATCTGGTATATTTTCACAATGACAGAATCATATTATATGCTTGCATCATTATTGTTCTCATGTAAGTACATATAGTGTTTTCCAAGCATATGACAGGCATTGATCTTCTTTAAAGTTGATACAATGGCCTTTGTTTTCTGATTTAAAAATTTCTATGGCTTCCAGGATTTTTATATACTCAGGCTGCCTAGATGTTTTGATAATAGTCGCCTCATTGAATAGGGTGTGTACATTATCATATGCATACATGGCCAGAGCTGTGGTTTTTCTTTTTATTTATATCATATCTTTGTTCTGCAGTTCTAACTTTGAGTGAATCCAACCAACTTTCCATGTAGTTAAGTTGGTATTGCATGATTTTTGTATTTTATGTATTTGAAAGTTTTATTTTTTATTCAAAATACATTAACATTCCAAAACACATTCCATTTAATGTAGATCTGAGGAAGATCTCATATAGGTTGAAAACGTTTGTCTTTGAACATTTGATTATTATTAAACAATACTGGAAACAAAAAAAGCTCTATGTTGAATGAGGTTTCTATTAGCATTACTTTCCAGTCTCATTTGTAGTGTAGTTTTTCTACAATTTATATTAGCTTATAATAAAACTTTTACCAATTGAACAACATCCTCTACTGTGATAAATCTCTGTTTAGTTATAGATGATTTTTACTGTACTCGTAAAATGCAGTATTTTCTTTTCTCTACGGCAGTAATAATGCATTAAATAAAGTTTTAATTTAGCACTTGTTTTTGGAATAAAAATTGGATACATTCTTAATACAGCAATTCCAGCATGAACATTACTTGTAATCAGTAGGCATCAGTACAAGTGAGAGCAGGTTATCAGATTTAGTATTGTTTTAGCATCTAAATTGTTTTTTAATAATAATATGCCCAATAATGCTGTATGGTTTTCTGTTCTAATATTATCTAACTTTGTATAAATAACTTATGATTTATTGAAAATATATTAAAACTGGAAAGAGTTAACCCATGAATTTTTGTTATATTATCCTGGAATGCTTAATAGGATTTATTAATATGCAGAGTCATTAAAGTATGTTTATACTATGTACTATTAATTGTGTACTATAAACCCACTTCTCTAGTTTAAAACTTAAAAAATGGATTATGTAAGATATGTGGTGTTCATGAGATGTTTTTGTAGAAAATAAATTTGTTAGAATGATAAATTTCAGTATACAGTGGAACCTTGCTTAGTGAGCATAATTCGTTCCTCAATCTTACTCGTAATGCAAAAAACTCATTAAGCAAAACAATTTTTCCCATATAAATTAATGTAAAATATGATAATGCATTACACATAAAAAAAAAAAAAAAAATACAGGTATACCTCGACTTACGTCGTTTCGAGTTACGTCGTTCCCTATTATACGTCATTTGTCAAAAATGTATACAAAAAAATAAAAATCAAGTTTAAGTCATTTTATTCGACTTTACGTCCGTCCGCCACAAATATTGAAGTCGTAATATCACTAGAAAAGCGCTTAAAGCACATAAAATCATATTAAAATATATACATTTACAAGTATGTACTGTATTTACAGTACAGTACATGCATTCGTAAATTTAGATTACTTTTTTCTGTACTCTATTAAAAACTAAAATTTATTTGTTTGTAAGCTTAAAATAGATTCTTATTAACCATATATTATTAAAAATGCATTAATAAATAAAATACAGAACTGGAAATAGTAATTTATGGTTTAGCCTAGTGACAAGTAGATTCGGAGACAAGTAAATTCGACTTACGTCGTTTTTCGACTTAAGTCGTTTTCCTGGAACCAATTACCAACGTAAGGCGAGGTATACCTGTACTCAAATATTTTATGTATAAAGTTTATTCAAAGAAAATTATACAATATACATTGTTAAGGAGCATGAATCATCTTCAGGTTTTCTCCTAGCACAGAATGAACCAACCTGAAATGCAAATTTGATTTGAAGAAAACAAAATAAATCAAAGATAATTTGTTTGACTCCAAACGATATGCCAAATTCTTGTGCTATGTAAAGGTTATAATTGAATATTAGAAATTAATTAATTTGACAAGTTATGCTGCCATCTCATATTCAATTTAATAATTATAAATAATTAATTTTTTAATTTAAACATTTCTGGAATTTAATTTGGAATTGGAATTTAATATGAGATTGCAGCATAACTGCCTACCGCTTGTCAAATTAATTAATTTTTAATATTTAATTATAGCCTTTTATGTAGCCCATGAATTTGGCATATCGTTTGGTGTGTTTAATATATAATGAGCTATGGTTGTTGATGTTTATATGTAATATGTGTGAAAACAAGTTTGGAAAAATGTGTGATCACAAGTGACACTAAGATGCTAGCGGAACAAGTGCTAAACACAGACTGATGGAGCATGCGCAGAATTTGGGACTTCCCCTCTCCTTGTCGGTCATTAAGTGAGTCATTTTTAAACAAAAAATTACTACTCACCACACCTATATAACAATCACATACACTGAACCAATTTACGGTGTGGTACGATCAACTAACCAGTACAAAAACAAGAAGAGCCCAGAAGGGATTCGAAAACGTTTGTTTTTGTACTGGTTAGTCGATCGTACCACACCGTAAATTGGTTCAGTGTATGTGATTGAGTCATTTTTTTTTTACAATTTGTTTTGTTTGTTAAGTGATGTTTCACTGTATAATGCTTTATTCATAAAGGAATATCTGATTAGGTTAACTGTCTACAATATATGGAAGGAAGAATTTCAGTATTGTTTCTAGCAAACAAATATATTTGAATAGTGTTTACTGAAGACATTTAAGAAAGAGGAATTTTTAAAAAATTATTATCAATTTGTTTTAATGGCATCCTGTCTCATAAATGATTATTCACAATTTCTATACTATACTTTTAAGTTTATTCTGTTTTAAATTGTCATAACATTTGACCATATTTACTCATTAATAGTTAAACAGCAATCATTATATCTTAAATATATTTATATTATATGAGATAAAAGTTGTAATTTTGAATAATATTTATTTTTCAGTGGTATTGTTTTAATTCAGAACAAAGTCTTGATAATGACACTGTTGAAGATTCGTCATTAGTGTCAACAGTTTTATCAGCAGAAGAGGAACCTCACGTTTACACATTACCTACTACTGGATTTATCATTTTTCAGATAATTTGTATAGTAAGTTATATGAGAAATATAAAATATAATAATAATTTTAGTTTTAGTTTAGTTATTATATAAAATATTTTTATACTTTATACAGTCTTCCAAAATTAATAGAACATACAGTGATTACTTAGAAACTTTCTATTATTTTCATGTAACCTTAATGAAATTTTGTAATACATTTCATAGTAAGATATCAACAATTATTGCACAAGTTTGGAGAAAAATGATTAATAAACAAGAGAGCTAGATACTATTACCAAAAATAGAATGTCCATCATTAATGTTCTATTAATGTTGGACGTTCTTATGATATTTTCAAGTTAAAATTAGTAGCTGATTTTGCTGCCATTTTTGGAAACAAGCTGAAAAATATGATTAGTCATTGAATTCATCAAAGATTGCAATTGTTCTTGTGGAATAATGTCCCGTCCCTGATGAGAACAGCCTTTAGTTCAGTGATGGTCTTGTATTGCTTTCCACTGCTATACATTTGGAAAACCAGGTCACCCTAAAGATTTTCAATTGGTTTAAATCTGCGCTGAGGAGTGGCCAGTCCAAAAGTTGAACGTTCTTGCTCTGAAAAAAAAAGATAAGGTTGATTTTGATACATGGAAACTTGCATTATCCTGCACGAATTCAAAGATGTGTCCAGCAATTTTTTGTCCATAAGTTTGAAGCTGCCTTCAGACAAGCTCCTGATAAGTTTGAGAGTTGTTTTGACCTTCAATAAATAATAGATCTGTCTTTCCATTCCATCCAGTTCTTGCCCAAGTTATGAGTGTACCGCCACCAGCTACTCTTGGAGTACTGCTTTTGATTTAGTCTTTTGTCTGCCCAATAATTATTAAAACTATCGGGTCTGTCGAGATTCCATTTTTTCTCATCCGAGAAAATTATCTTTTGCCATCCTTCTCCTCTTTCAAAGTTGTTTCTGGCAAACTGTAATCAAAGTTGTTTGTGTTTCTCCTTGATCTGGTTGCCTGTCTCTATTTTGATGAAAGAAACATTGTTTGTTGATCTCAAACATTATGTATTATTGATTTACTGCAGCTCTGCTTCAATTCATCCTTGATTTTTTTGAACAAATGTGTTTCCTTGCAGTGTACATCAAACAATTGTATATTGTTCTGTAGGTGTTGCTGAACTCTTTCACCTACTGTTTTGTTTTCCTGTTCATTGCTTCTTATTATTGAGATATTTTGAGATTGTTGCATGAAGCTTTTTCAAATTTTTAGCAATTCAAGTTACTTTACTGCCTTTCTGGTGAAATACATTAATTTTGATCTTCTCCTCTATGGTTAGGTCCTTCCCTTGCCCCATTTTTAATAGTAAGGTATTATGCAATTTACTAAACCTTTCTTTCCACTTGTTGATCATATTTTTTGCAAATTTCATGGATTCAAATCAGTACATGTTCCATTAATGTTGGACATCCTATTTTTGATAATAATATCTAACTCTTTTGTTTATTAATAATTTTTCTCCAAACTTATGCAATAATTGTTGATATTTTTCTATCAAATGCACTAGAAAATTTCATCAAAGTTACACAAAATAATAGAGTTTCTAGGCAATCACTATATGTTCTATTATTGTTGGAAGGACTGTAGTAAATTGGAAGCTTTTGAAAAATGGCTTAGAAACATTACTCTATATAATACTACTAATATATATATATATTTAAAAATTTTTATTCATTATAATTATTATAGCTAAGCAGGAACATAAACTGCTTCATTAGTCTTAGGAGACAAAGGAAGGCATGACTGCTTTCTTAATAAAAATACATATATAAACATCTCAAAGCTTGATGATTTAATAATAATTCAAACAATTGCTAAGTTCAGTTGGTATATTTTACTGCTACTATTAATAATTAAGTTCTGAGTTTAATTATTAATAGTAGCAGTAAAGTAGCCCAATTGAATTTGGCAATCATTTGGCTTATTAATAAAAATTTATAACCCCAGTAATGCTCCAACTCAATGGTGCGCAAACTTTTCAATTGATGGGCCAAATTGCTTGTAAGTTGCTTGTAAGTAGACAGGCCACAAAATATTGTCTACTAACAACTTAATGTACAGAAAGTGCTATTTCTATTTGTTTATAACTGATTTATCAAATGTGTGTAGATCAGTTTGGCCTAGGGCACTATTTCTCTAATCCTTTAGAAAATGGATAGGTGATGAATTATAGTCATTGATAACAAGGCCCATTTGGAGAAAAAGGATTAGAACATCTGGAGAAAAGAGGTTGCTCTTGTTCAAAGTTGAGTAGATGAGGGTTGGGAGAAAAAGGTATCCTTTTTTAATGGAGATAAAAAGGAAGTTAACATATTGAGGTTAGAGCGATTTGAGTAATGATCAGTTGTTGGAGATCAAGTTTTAGATGACAATTTGGGCAAGAGCATCAAGAGAAAGAGCATACAGGTTCCTAGAAAGTATCTTCATAGATGTGGGATTCCTGACAAATCAACAGAGCTTTTAAATGAATTCTGCATATAAACAGTGATGGAACATTTGTTCATGACTACTACATGAAATAAATGTTATTAAATTGTCGACATACCACATTGATTACTTGGTAGTTTTTTTATTACTTTAATATTTTCTTAAAATAATTTGTTTTAGGATAGGCAACTCCATGTTTAAATCAGTTAAAACACACACACACACAAGTCACAGGAATTTTTCTATAAAACTTGGCATTATTTTATAAGTTGCTAGAAGGAAATATAGTTACTTAAGGAAATGAATAGTTTAAGTAAAGGAAAATCATTTTAAGATCTTTATCATAAGATGAAGTTGGTCCAGGTATTGTTCAATATGGTTTTGAATGATATTGTGAGATGAAATTGGACCAAATAAAGATGAAAAAATGTTTCTTCTTACTAAAACTGTTGGTTTCCATAAAATAGCTGTATTTTCTTCTGCAAATACACAAATAAATGTTTTAAAAGTTTGTTTAATGCAGAAATGTTTTGGGTTTCTTCATTTTCAAGTGCATTTGAAATGAATGTTACATTAGAACAGCAGGATAAATATAATATGTAATGTAATAAAAATTAATCAATTTTCTTTTGAATTAAAGCTCTTGGTGAAAAAGTGAGCAATCCAAAAATGTTTGTGCATTGAACAAATCAGAATTTCTAAAATGGCAGAGCCATTTCTTTGTCTGTTTTAACTAATTTAACTTATTACATTTTTTTTAGTTTAAACTATAAAAAAATTGTAAAAAATAATTTTTTAAAATTAGTTTTATTAGATAATTTTTGAATGTTATTTTATCTAAAGTTTTTTTTCATTTCAGATAAGTCTTGCAAGCACATCTATTGCATTAGCAATATTATCATTTAAAGAAACATGCATTATCTTAAATATTTTTCATATAAGTGTATGGTTAGTATTTTTACCCATACACTCTTACTATAGACAGAAACATAGAAAACTATTATTATTTGGATATTTAGAATTCTACAGAAAAACTACAACAATAAGAAAGATGCCATTTATGATATTATCAATAGGTAATTAATATATAATATTTCTTAGTATTTTAAAGGCTGAATTTTAAAAATTGTCGATTTAATAAAGATTATAAAGGGTATCTGAAAAGTTACTATGCAGTGAAGAATTTGTAATGACACTAAAGTTATACATACAGCATTGCATGTGAGATCTGTAAATTGTATGTTCCATGTTTCCACTTTGCAGTAGATGGCATTACGGTTGCTCACAGATGTTCTGGATTTTGGACTAGAGTTTTGGAAAGACTTCTTTGCTTATTGCAAAGTCTCTCATGGAATCTGGCTTGCTAGGTCTCTAGGTGTCTCCCCAGATTTTGGGGTCTCTGGGGACATCTCCAGTATTTGCTGTAGGAAAAAATGCAATATTATACATAAAACTTTACTTTTATTTAAACATTCCACTGCACAGTAACTTTTTGAACACCCTGTAGAGATTGAAAATTAAGTTTACAATCAAATAAGAAACACAAATTTTTTAGTTAAGATTGTTAACCATTCTAATATGATTAATTAACTAGAAAACAGTATTTAGAATGCAGATTTATTCATAAATTTTGATAAAATAATAAATATTGTATAAAACAAAATTGAATTTGAATATATTATATATATATAGATTCTTCATTTTGTATTATTGAATCTAAATGGGAATTTCAGGTAAATTAATTCAACTTTCTGATAAACAGTAAGAGAGTATATTATAAAAAGATGTTGCATAAGAAAATTAACTACTAAATATTCAGACATTACAGTTTGTAGAAAGATTACAGAAAATTAAATCAATAAGCAAATTAATAGTATACTTTATAAAAAAGTGTTTAAATTTCTTCAATTAGATTCAAATTTATTTGAGAAATTCAAGAGATTTATTTTTAANATATTATATGCTTGCATCATTATTGTTCTCATGTAAGTACATATAGTGTTTTCCAAGCTTTTATGCTTTCTTTTAATTGATAAATTTATATTCAATATTTGGGAATTTGGAAAAGCAATTGATGATTGTTTTATCATATTCTAAAATGCTTTTAGTGAAAATTTAAAAGAAGTCTTAGTTTAAAATATATTTTGATAACAAAATATATTTCTGAAGTTAGTTTGCTTTCAATTTGTGTAAATATTTTATTTTATACATTCTGTACTTTTTACAATTAATTGTTTACATTCATTACAGAAGTGTAATGAATGTAGTTCATTGATATTTTAAACTAAGTTAAATGCAGGAAAAAATTTATGAACTCTTATATTTAGCAAAATGATATTTTCAATAGTCTCAATGATAGTCTCAATAGAAATGAATTAAACACAGAAACAAGAAATTTGTATAAGTTCTTATTCATTTATTCAAAATAAATTATTCACCTTTATATTCATCAAAGTTAATGAAAATATGTTTCCAATCTTTAAATATAAATTTATTAATGAAATAATTAAATATGTAACTTCACAAACAATTAAAATTTATCAGTTATCAATAATCTGTATCCAGTTGCTATATCTTTTACTCTCGTTGAATTCATATAACTTAGCTATCTACGGTACATTAACATTAAACTTTTATATTATATTTTAAGAAGTAAATACATAGATAGTTTATGATAGAATTAATTAACAAATTTAAATACTTAAACAATTTAACATTCTAAAGCTACAAATTATATTTATTTATCGTATTGTAATAATATGTTAACAAGTGTTTTGAAATTTTATTATTAACTGAATTATTAAATCATTCATGCAAAAATTTTAAAGATTCAAAATTTATGCTTTATTTATGATTTTGCTAATAATTTGATGATACATGCATGTAATTCTTTTAATCTAATGAAAGTTAAAGTATATTATTTTGTTGTTATAATATATAAAATATGATTAATAAAAAATTTAACTTCTATAATAAAGAGTGTAACTTCAACAAAAAAGATAAATACACTCTTCTTAAACTGCACTTACTAAAAAATAACTACCATTTACTAACCTTTAACATTTACAAAGAAATAGGAGCAGCTACTAACAGAAAGATAATATTTAAAATGAACCCAACAGTATATCAGATGCTATGTACGGACAAAGATCCTATAGACCAGAACCTTATTTCTGGAGTTTACAGAATACCTGTACAAGACGAGAGGTAGCAAAAAGAACTGTACTACGTTGGAGCTACAAGGCAGTCATTAAAAGAAAGAATAAAAGAGCACAAAACGAATGTACAGAAGGAGCAACCCATCATGGCTTTAGCGACATACGTTATAGCAGACCCAACAGAGGTATCAGTGAAATGGGAAAGAGCAGAAATAATACATAAGGTACAAGACAGGTGACATATTAAATATGCAGAAGCCTGGCATATTCATAAGAGCAATCTGGCAGGACAGGCTATAAACTTCAAAGAATCATATAAAGTATCCGCAGCATGGCGAGCGGGTGCATTATGAACGTATCAGCATAAAGAAAAAAGCACAGACAGACATTAGTAGAAGCCAGTTATATCATCTATTTCTTTATTATTAATATGTATTTTTATTTTTGTGTTAGTATATGCATATATTTGTACATTATCAATCCATAGATTCTATTTATTTATTTTTGGACTTGCGCAATAAGTGCTGAGAAAGCGTTTTAATGTTAAAATGTTCTATAAACGGTATCGTTCATCATAAATCAAAAATTGTTCATTCAATCCTGACGAAGGTCAATTAATTTGATTGAAAACGTTAGATTACATTAATGAAATAGACTGCATATTAAAGGTTAGTAAAGGGTAGTTAAAAGATATATATTTTCAGAACTGCTTAGCTTTCTTGTCAAATGTATCTCAAGTAAGGCAGCTCAGAAAGAATAGAAGAGACTGAAGCTTGACCACCTAAACTTTTAAAGAATTAAAAGTTTAAACTATGTTTCCTTCTGTCTAAGTTCTTTAATTTGAGATTCATCTGACATTGGAGTTTAGTAGTATGGGAAACTTTTTCTCTTTATTGAATTTGGAATCTTTGAATTAATTTAACAACACTTTAGCACTTTTTATCGTCATTGTAGTGAATTCTTAATCCAGTTGATGATGATAATGGCATTCCTATTTAACAGATATATTAAAGAAACTTTTAATTAATTTACACTTACACCATTTAAAAAAAAGGGAGAAAAAACAGAAAATTCTGTTTTTAAAATCAAATTTTTACCAGATTTGTTTTAATTTCTAAAATAATTATTATTGAATCAAATTTCTTTATTTATCTAAATAAATTTATTTCTCAGCTTGTTTTCTGTCCATTCAAATTGATTGTTTTAATAAACAAAGTTTTATCTGTTTCAGCCTTTTCTATATATATTATATTTTTAATATTTATTAATTATATTATTTTATTGATTGATAAATATTAATTTAAAATACATTGGAGGAATTCACTTAAACATCTATTCAGGAGCAAAGGAGATCTTTCTAGCATAGCATGAGTATATGCGTGGGGTGAATGCTTATTCTGGCTCAAAAATAATGAAAGGAAATCAATTTGAGATGATTTAGCTTAACATACAAATAATGTGTGACTGTAAGGGATAAAGACAACATTGATAAATTGATACAGAATATGTTCAGCAGCAGTATAAAGATGTAGATTTTCAAGTGTGGTGTTATGTATGGCACATAAAACATTTTGGTGGTCACCATTTTATGGGCCTTTCTTATATGTTTCTCTAGTTTGCCAATATCCTGTGGCACTGCTGGGTATGCATTGTATACTGCTTTTAAGTGATCACACATGAAAAAAACCAGAGGGGTGAAATCTGAGGAACACAGCAGACTTCAAATGGTGCTGTGCTGTCCTATCCAGCACTTGCTAAACTGATCTGTGAGCTACTGATGAACTGTACATCTATCAGGGAATGAGGTGGCATGCTATTATGCAGGCTCTAAACTTGTAGTTGTATTAATGTCAAGTCTTCAATTCATTCATCTACCATCAGGTTTAGGATGTTCAGATATTTGGAGCGCTGTCAATGGTTGAATAGCTGCTCATCCCAAATCCCACATCAAATATTTAACATAAAAGGTACTTGGTGTCATGTATGTCACATGCATTGTGGAGCATGCTCTGCCAAATGGGGACATTATGACGGTTATACACTCTGTTCTGGAAAAACAGTCTCATGTGTTCATAAAATACACTGAAGGAGTTGTTTGGCATGCTGTAAACTTAATGTTCTGTTTACCACTCATATTGCTATGCAGCATCTTTTTGTGAGGCCCCAGAAATAGCCCCTCAAAAGAAAGATATAAAAAAATTTGTTAAGTTAAATTGTCAAAAAAACAAATTATGTGTTGAATCGGTGATACCGGTTCAACACATAATTTGTTTTTTTGACAATTTAACTTAACAAATTTTTTTACCGAAAAACATACCGAAAAACAAAATTTTAGAAAATAAAAGAAGAAAATTTAAAAAGTTAAGATGCCGTTTAGAAAATAAAATGAAACTAGAAAAAAATATCAAAATGAGTGTAGGTGTCATAATCAACAATTAAATGCAATCAGAGTCTAACAGATGGTGTCAGATAAACCATCTTCAGCCGACCTTTCCCACAAACTATATGAAGCTCCATTTGCACCTGGAGACAGGTGGAAAACCAATTAGAAAACGATGATGTAAGGTCTGTCCAATTAGCAAAAAGCCGATCTCGAAAAACTTATAAAAACACCAATTCCAAGGACAACGAGGCTTCCTGTAAGACTTCCACTAGACTTCTGTTGTGTTTGTGTATCTCTGTTTTTTTGGACCTCCGTTAATCTTTCGTGTACTGTCTCTCAAGACTTTGAACATTTTACTCAACACTGTCCAGGGGCCCCTACAACACTGGACCAGATTGCCGCCAAAAACCCCTATGACACTGAATCAGGTCGCTGCCGAAAACCCCTACAATGCTGGACCAGGTCGCTGCCGAAAATCCCTTTGACACAGGACCATATCGCTGCTGAAAACTCCTACGATGCAGGACCTGATCACAACTGAAATTCTACAACATAGGACCAGATCAGATCCGAAGACATCTTAAAGTTCGGAATCTGAGGACCTTTCCAACAAAAAAATTTATGTAAGCATTTTCGATCAAGAATAAATGGTTTGCCTCTGTAAAACACTTGTCTTTTGCTGCCTCATAAAACCGCCACCCACATACGCATAGACCTTAGACTATCCTGATGGTAGGGAATAAAATTCTCCCCCAATCAGTGTTCTTATATTTTGCACGTTATACTGGTTGCAGATAACAACAGAATGGGTGTGATGTAATATCTGATATATTTGTTTTCACTGCACAACTACAACCTAATCTAATCAAAGCTGAAAAGATCTCTTTTCCCTGAGTTGTTTACATGGACACTACATATACAGCAGAAACTCCATCAATTAGGATAGTGTGAACCGCCGGGGAGGTCGGGAACTGTCGACTCTCCCTTTTCAGCTACAGGTCATTAAACCTGCTCACTTGTCAAGATGGCTAAATTTCGAATGTGGTCCCAAAGGGTCGGGATTCTTTCTGTCAGGTCGAGTGGAGGAGTTGAGAGGGGTCGTCGACAAGGTGTAGGCGATATGTGAGTAAAAGGACACCATTTAACAATGGAAACAACGATTTATTAGATTAACAAAAAATAAAGATTACAAAATTCACTAGTTCCTAACTCATGGAGAGAGAGTTTACAATTATTTGTTCCATATCTCTAGTAGATTTTAATGTAGGCACAGAGTTTGACGTACAAAGTAAAAATTCCCAGAGACTTAATCCTTTCAGACCATAGATGTGAGATTCCCCCAAGGAGGGGGAAAGAAGTTGCTTTTATAGCTTCGGGCAGGGGAAATTAGTCAGGTGATCCCCTATTGTGTGAGGTAGAGTTGGTCCTGCAGGTATGAAGGTTAAAGTTGTTCCCGGAACCAAAACAAAATGACGAATTTGGACTTTAACTATAAATTTTTTGTCTTGCAGCAGAGGAATGTCATTATTCAAGGGTTGAATGTTTATATTAATGATGAAAGTTATAAGTTTCTATCGATATTTGATTTTTTTTTCCAACAATGTTATTTTAACGAGGAGGCGACAAATTTATGTCAAATACGTCAAAAATTTAGGGGGGGGAAATGAACAATTTTGGCCTTACTCTGAGGTCGGATCTCACAATAGTGAGTGGACAGTTAATCAAAAACCATGCCTAATGGAATTCATATTTTCCAATAATGCATTTTCATTTATTTGACATCATAAATTCAGCAGAAAACTGAGAATAAAACCAAGCACATTGTAGCTTGGTTTCATTTTTTTTAATGTCAGAAATTGTTGATGTTTCTACTTTGTAAAGTTTTGCTAGATTTGTACCATTTTTGCCTTTTTCCAAATATTTTAAAATTTACATTTTGGTGTGTATTATCAAAACCACCTGTTTTTAAGGCTTTTGAATCGATTTTAGACTGCAACATAATTCAAAAATGGACACAAGGTGTAGTCACTGTTTCCTATTTGTAATTCTTGTATACAAATAAGAGAGAGTAATTGCATTTTGTGTGTTCATTTTTGAACACAAACTTCTTTTGTAAAAACACATTCTTTTTTTTCCTTACAGAAGAGTTACATTATCTCCTGATGGGGAGAAGAGTAGAAGAGACATACTATACTATATTATATTTTCAGAATGCTTCTGGATGATTGAGATCTGGATAATCAATGTTTTTCTGTATCTATAAATTTTTTAAGATGTTAAATATATAAGAATATAGTAACAGTGATTGGATCCCCAATTAATTAAACTTGTTTAATGAAATTTCTGTTATATATATATAATTTTAATTTTAATTTAATAAATTCTTTATTCATATTAAGGAATCTTTGTTACAGGGGGTAATGATTAAGGAATAAGCAATACAATCATAAGTAATTATAATCAATTTAATTATTTATATAAGAAAAAAAAATTAATTAATTGAACATCTAGTTATTTCCTATATTGAGCATTCAAATCATTAATAATTTGGTTAAAGAAATTAACAATTTTATACATATTTATTTTCGTTAAATTGCCCAATTTAATTCTATAATCAAATTCATTATTTGAAGAAAATATTCTTAGAGTTTGAAATTTTTGATGATATTTTTTTTAATGCAGTACAATCTCTAATTAAATGAAATGTAGAAAAGTTGTTGGAATTACACCAATAACATGATTTAGTAAAATCTATATTATTTACAATCAAAGAGAATTGATTTAGTCTCAATTGTAGTAAGATACGTTTAATGTTTAAAGTTGTATTCATTGTAATAATGTTCGATTGAGTGGGAAAACTTAAGGTATGCAAGTACCAAGGATGATATGTTAAGTGTTATATATATATATATATATAAAGTATTTAAATATATATAAGTATTTATATATATAGAATATAAATTGTCTATATCATATACAAAGTATTTTCAAATGAATTTGTGTTGTGTATAAAAAAAATTAGCCAAACTCTTAATTTTAATAATTTATACAATTTTTTTTATATTTCAGGTAATACAGTATTGTTGTGTTTTCTCACATTTTCATATTATTTATGCCAAACCCATAATACAAGTATATTTAGTGATTTTAAATGCTGTTATCAGATTTTATTTGTTGTGAGTCTTGAAACATTAATATTGCTCCCAGTATTGATTACTTTCTGTGGTAAGTAAAAAAAAATAATTTTTTATTTGTAAATATTCATTTCAAATATTATGAGTTTTAGAATAGTGTATATTTCATATATGTAAACCAAGAATATTTATATAAAATCTACATATAGTTTATATTCACAAAATATTATGTATCATTGCTTTATTTTATATTTGACTTTTAAAATATTTGAAATATTTATTAATTTGTTTTATGATTTATCTAGAGGCATTTACATACACTACTTTGTATATGAACATAATCCCTAGTTTTTTGATTTTAATTAAGTGATGTGTAATTTGATTAGTGGAAATAAAACTCCTTTAATAAGTTAGGGAGCTACTTAACACAATATATAATATTGATAAAAATTACTGTAAATAATGTTTTTGATGTTTAATTATTTCTATATGAAAGAAAAATAAAATATAAATATAGAAAATAAACTTTCCTTTTAATAAATAATTTTTAATTCTTATGTTCAATTGCCTGATGAAGATAAAGTTCTTTTTGATCATTTGACAAAGGTAAAGTTGTTTTATGTATCAAAATTACTCAGGTTTTCTTTCAGTTGTATTTTTCTTTATTGTTAAAATAACTTAACATTGAAAGGCAGTATTTACAGCAGCTTTTACTAAAACCCCTTTGTGATATGAATTCTTTATTGGATATATTTTGCTCTCTATCTATCAGCATTTTAATTTACATTATATAACAATTTATAAAATACCTACTGTTTAATATCATAATGTTATGACAAGTGAGAATTTATTGTTTAATAATTCAGGAAAATGCACTTTAAATCTGAATTTTTTTTTAAATATTTAAAATTCTTTTTTATTTTCATTGAAATTGCCAACAAATATCAGAAGATTTTTTCTTTGTTATCTTCTTTAGTCTGCACATAGATGAGAAATGATGTGTAAACAATATTATTCCTTGTCTATGTAATTCTTAAAAGATAATTGAAATGTCTTATTTAATATTAAGAGACATGAGATAAATATCTGATAAATCTCAGATAGAATGGAAATAAATTAAAAATTAAAGCCAGCATCAAATATGGAAGACAAACAACAAATTTATTCAAATTAAATGTAAGTGAGAGTTCAGCCAAATTATAATGGAGTGAGATTGTTTTAATACAAATTAATCCTTTTATGCAAGAAACTCTAGATAGGAAAACATAAACAACCATAAATATAAATCCTGTCATAAATTCTTTTAATAATGAACATTTTTGACTTTGTTCAAAAGCCTTTATCAGGGAAAATAACTTCAAACAAAATGCTCACAAAATGTCTACATTGTATTGAATTAGTAAGAGACAAGAAAAATTCTCAGAATTAACAATTTATTTATCAAGATACTAGTTCAGATTACATATTGAATAATGATTTTTTTTATATCAAAAGACTAAAATTTTATTAAAATCATTACAAGTAATGAATTACGAAAGCAATTTTTAGCATTTTGAAGGAAGAATACACTTATTAGTAGTAGATCTGACAAATCCAAGTTTACAAGTGCATCCTACAACACATTGAGTAGTACAGAATTCTGATGGGTTCATGTAGTTAGTTTTATTTATGTGGTACTGGACAAGCAGTACCACATAAATAAAACTCTTCATTTTCCCCACATTGTGCTATAATAATGTTTTTTTTAATAATAATAAAAAAATTAAAATTTACTCAGAAACATTTACTTTATTATTGTTTTATTCAGGATTAACTAGTTTATGTGGAGAGAAACTTCATGTACTATTAGTCATGCTATAACTATATAGCTAATTCTGATGAATTTCATATTTTACTTAATAAAATTTAATATCTGTGATTTTTATAAATAAATGTATGTAAATATAAATTATTGACTTACTTGAGATAATATCTAAATTAACAGTTGATGCAATGATAATAAGTAATGTGATGATCAGGAATGCCTTCATGTTGATTCTAAAGTTGGTTGTCAACCTGATCGGAGCACTTTTAAATGTCTCATTTTAAAAAGAAATTTTTACATTAAAAAAATTTTAAGATAATTTTTAAAAATTCTGTTAATTCAGATATTGTTATCGTTCTATTCCGGATTAATTCTTCTGGTCGTAGATAAAACTTCTATCTGAACATCATATTTAATTCAGTGTGCAGATAGAAGTTTTATTTACTGTAATTGTTAAGAAGTAGAGCTACTTCTGATAAAAAATAATAATGATATTTTAAAAAGATCTCATTTAAAAAATAATTTGTAAGAATCACCACATAAAATTCTATAATTCTATTCTATATTATAATTAATTCTATAATTACATTCTACAATTCTATAATATTTTAAAATTGAGAAGTTATTTTGTCTATTCATTTATAACTAGCTTAAATTAACTGTTATGTCTGTGTTTAAATTAGTCTAATTTGGGAGTTCCAACTGTGTTCAACACACCAAAAATAAGAATTATATGCCATAAATTTTAAATTTTTTGAAAACTTTTGTATGGAAAAAAATTTAAATTTTCTCTAATTGCTTTAAGATAAGTCAATTGATTGTAAAAATTTTTTCATAGCTAATTTATTTTCCTTAATTTTTTATTATTAATATTTAAACCTTCATATTAGCAAAATTACCATATCATTTCCTTATTAAATTTTTAACTTTATTGTTTATATAAGCATTTCAGATTTCATTCATCTTCAAAGATTCTCAGTTTTTTTTAGCACTCATCAATGCTCTATTTTTTTAAATGACTTTTATATAAAAGCACATAGCAGCCAATTTAAATTTATAGAATTTATATATGGTATTTTAGAATGTGTTGCAGGCAATATGTAATTTGATTAAATGTTAAAGATTATCTGCTATGCCACATTTCTATAAATTTTTTCATGAAGAAAGAACATTGATGAGAATCGAAAAATTGAGAAGTTCTAAAGTAAAATTGGCACTGCATTTAAATGTATGAGTGGTTGTTTTGTAGTTCTAAAGATTGATGGAAGTCTAAAAACAGTTAGATAAGTATTAAAATTAATTAATAGTTTGCTAAAACATTGATTATTATATTATGCTTTTATAATCTATTAAACATGTTCCTTTTTCTGTCTGTCTTTGTTTTATTAAAAACTATTTTATTTTACTTTTTAAATTTCTTAATCTTAATCTCAGTAAATGTAAAGTAAGCATCTCTTTACTCTAGAATTCACATCAGACAGATTAAACAAAATAGTTGGAAGCAGCTGACTTCAACTGACTCAGAGACCAGTTGTACAATATGACATTTACCAGATACCCTTGTGTCTTTACACTGGCACTTTATTTTAAAAATTTGGAAAGTTTTTGGACACACCTCCTATTTCTTATATAAAATTTTCTTTTTGTGAATAATTATGCAAAAGTAATTGTCATTTTACTGTACTTTTGTTTTATAATTATTTTGTCAAACAAACAATATCAAGCATATTAATGATTAGATATAATTTATCTATATTCCATTAAACTGACTCAGTAATCATCATGATATTCTATTAAATACAATTAGATTATGTATGGACAAATAGATTATATATGGATATAAGGATTGATCATGTATGATCAATCCTTTCTACCATGATTGTCTTGCAACTTTTTGTATGGTCTGTTGTCACTTGTGAAAGAAATCATTTATATTATTTTTAACATATTGCAAGTTTAATAGGGCAAACAACAATAAGCTGAAATTATTCTTAATAAAACTTTTTGTTTCTCATTAGTTTCTTTTTTCATAAAGCAAGTACAGTGTCTGTTTTTGTTAATCCTTTAAACTTGCATAAATCTTCCCTGTATTATTGTATTTGATTCTGTTTAATAAATATTGATTATTATATTTTTGTTTTAAAAGCAAAAATATTTTGTCTATCATACAGCTAAGAAAATATCAAATATAAAATAAAATAGTAAAAAAATGTATTAATAAAGTTTATATATCAAGTCCTTCTATTAAAGAAACAAATTAAGATTTGTTAAATTAAATTAAAGCAAATTTGAATTTAACTTAATTTTGAATTATAAGATTTATGATCAGAATTATTCTATAGATATTATATACAAGGTAGCTTCAAAAAATTTCTGGAATTGATTTATTATTCAAAAGTGTGTGTACAGTTGACAAATAAGGCAACATGCCCTTCAAAGTATTGTCCTTCAGCAACCACACACTTTTGCCAACGCTGGCAATAGCTGCTGAAAACATTCTTGGAGGCCGTCTCACAACAATGCCTGCAATGCAGATGTTGCACTCTATATAACCTCATCCACATTCCTAAAGTCACATTCTTAAAGTGGTGTCCCCTGATGGTATCTTTCAACTGGGGGGAGAGTTAGAAATCGCACAAGATTTGCCATGAGCATTCGTGGACCATGTGTTGGAAAACACAGTGCATGCTCAATTGATCAGTAGGATGGAGTGACAACTTCCAGCTGAAATTTCTGCTGTCTTGGTGATCTGCTCAATTGACTTACTGTTTGTCTGACCTCACTATCTTGATTACAACCAACACTTTCTCATCAGACATTAATGTTGATAGATGACCACTTTGCAAATCATCAGCAATACATTCTCAAGTTTATGGCAGATTCTACATAGGTGTCTTGAAGCATCTTCAAGGTCTCAGAGGATTTTTTTCCCCAATAACACACAAAATTTGATATTTGCACATTGTTCTTCCACAGACATTTTTGTCATACTCTGTTTTTGACATCTTCAGTGAATGGTAACTGTTATTATCTTTGCAATGAGTATGGATTTGTTTGAATACATTTCTCTATTCCTGACATGTTTAGCTAAGACATTCATTACATGTTCCTTTTTTCATTGTCTATAATTGACTAATTCAGCATAATTCTGGAAACTTGAAGCTATCTTGTATTGTAAATTTAGATAAAACATAATTTTAAAATAATTCTATAACATTAGAATAGAGATTCTTTTTAATACTTTTTCCTGTTATTTAGTGTTAACAGTTAGATTCAACATGAACAAAGTAACTTCTGATGTTCATTGTGATGAAATAGCTACTGTATATTTATCACATGGTCCTATTGGCGATATTGGATACAGGTAAGTTATAGTAGTAATCTTTTATAAGCAGTTAAAAATAAAAATAGTTATGTTATTTATTTTTATATTACTATATAAATATATCCAATATTATGAAAATGTTTAAATGAAACCAGTTTAATTCCAAAATAACACACTAGTGTAGAATGATATAATGAATAAAATTGTTAGGAACTATAAAATACTACACAAATGTTCACAGATGTTTAGTTCTAGTGTTTTCAGTTGAATGTGGTTATCTTCAGAGATAAAAATCTTTTTATTTCTGAAATTGAAATTTTCTATTTCTGAAGATATTTGTTAAACTGAATTGTTAATATTTTTCAATTCTTGATAGATTTCTATTTATAATAAATGATTCTTTCCCTCATAATAATTTTTATTTGTGTCAAATGCAAAAATATTTAAACCATAGTAACTGTAATATTGCTGAGAATAAGTATCAAAAAACAAAATGAAGAAAAATGAATGAAAAACAGTATTTTTTTCAAATAAAATTTAATATGGAAAAGTATTTTTAAGAAATTATTCTCAATCATTTTATTTTAATGCAATATTTAAAGCTGTTTTTAAAATTAATTTCTTCACAAAAATAATTACATAATTTGTTTGTATATTTGTGGAAATTGCCTATTTTTTGCTTTCTGTTTCTAATTAAATGAATGGTAATTAGGGTAAGACATTAAAAATGTTTTTTGTATTAAATATTTGACTTTACTCATAATCAGTTTAAATAAATAAATAATGTCAGTAAGGCAAGAAATATACCCAAACAATAAGAATGGCTACAATAAAATATGAAAACAACAGTAACATATTTACTGCCTTCCTAGGAACTCTAATGCCATTCATATTTGAATACAGTGGTGTCTTGTACTTCAAATTTAATTCTTCCAGGAAGCCATTTGATGTCCGAGTTAATTTTCCCCATTAGAAATAATGAAAAGTGAGTTAATCCATTTCCAGTCTCTAAACAATATCCATTTTGATAAACTTAAACAGCAAATACACATAATTTAATATAAAAATAACACATTTAAATACCCTAAATAATAAATCTAGACATGAAACATGAGATAAAATATGTAAATACTATATAATAAAACAAAAATTACATTTACTGTACCTTAGTGAAGAATGGTGATGTCCCATTTCTTATGGTTACTATGCAGCTTGCATGGTTTTCTCACAAATAAATTCTCTCAGAGATGGATAGTATCATCTGATAATTGCTTCTCATTTATCCATGCTAGGATGAGTTTACCCTTCTCCTCAATAACATGCAGGTTCATCATTTTCACACCTTAAGCTACATTTGCTGCTTTTATTGCTTCCTTCTTCTTAAGAATGATGTACACCATTGATTTTGGCATATTAAACATGGCTTCCAGATTAAACATACATGCACCATTTCATGTTTCACAATAAGTTTTTTTACTTCAATTTTTGATACTATAATCTTTCCCTTAGGTTTCATTGCTTCCACACTATTCTTAGATGTTATGGTTAATAGGGATTATATCTACTGTATACCAAACATCTCAATAATAAAGCAAAAGAAATAAACACTGAAAACACAAGTGTAATGCAAGAGATGCTTTCACAATGAGAGTGAGATACATTTGGGCACAAAACAGATTGCATTTATGCAGCAAATGCATTTTTTCACTGCACACAGTTCAAACATAGAAGCATCATTCAAACTTTGGGTCAAATTTCTCTCAAATTTAGCGTTTGAACTCTGAAACATTCAAAATTAGAATTGTTCTACTTACACTGTACTACTTATACTTGCAGCATTACAATGTTCCAAATACTAATGATAAAAGGAAGGGGAAAAAATGTTTTTATGGGAGGGATCATACATGTTTAAAAAAGAGAGAAAAACAAAAGTATTATTAGAAGATTATTTCTATTATTATATTATTAAAATAAATACTGTTGTTAATAAAACAACAGTGTTTTTATTTTAATAATGCTGATCATCAGGGATACTTGTGAAAAGAATTTTATTGTCATGGAAATTGCTATTTAAATTAAAAGCAAAAATTAAATATAAATGTTCCTGATGAACATTAAAGTTTGAAAGCATTTGAAAAAAATTTTTTTTAATTGTAATTCTTGAAAATAATCTTTTAATAATGCTTATGCTTTCATTTTCAAAATATTGAAAAGTTTAATTCTATGAATATAGTTTATAAAATGTCATTAAATTGTACTGAAAACATCATTGTATTGATGAAAAATAATCAAATAAT